ATATTCCTGATACTGGTACAGAATCATTAATTAAATTTCTTCGGTATTTACTTTTGTATTTTAAAATCGATGAAGCTGATAGGCTACTGACTTCTATGTATACTGTAAAATCGTCTTAGGGATTTTAACCAAATATAGAAAGTATACTATATGTCTGAAGTATCATAAGCTCTATGACCTATTGGTAATTAAAGACCATATTCAAGACAATAAGCCAGAAAGTATGAAGTATACAAATGTAGAATATCTCTATCATCAAAATAAATCACAACGATCAGTATGCAATGAACCATTAGCAGTAAAGCTAAAAACAATAGATAGTATCTTATTATGACCATCAAAAATTTATCTGGTTGGAAGTATAAAGCAATAGCTCTATATGATATATTACAGAGCTGGCTTTGAGAATATGTTGTGGCATTCTAGTAATAGAAATGTTCTAAATAGAATTTTTTCTGATATATATGAGGGAAATATTTGGAAAAATTTCACTATAAATCTAGAAGATCCTACACCATTTTTTACAAATGATACACTTGATAGTCATATCAGCCTAGTAATTAATATAGATTAGTTTCAACCATTTGATTATACAGTTCTCAGTACTAGGGTAATTTATGGAGTATTATGTAATTTACCAAGAGAAGAATAATTTAAATCTAATAATATATTAACTTTAGGTATTATTCCTGGTCTAAATGAACCAAGTAAATATCAAATCAATAATTATCTAGCTCCAATCGTCGACAAGTTAGTTGATTTTGCTTCTGGTATAGATTTACCAGCAACATTCGAATATAAAAAAGTATGCAAAATTTATGTCACATTGATTCTATCATCAAATGATGTTCCAGCTACAAGAAAGATTTGTGGTTATATAAGTTATACAGTGAAATATCATTGCTGTCTAAAACATGCAATATATGATAATTTATCTAAAAGAAGTCACTATAGTAATTTTGAAAATATAGATGAATGGTTTAATCTGGTAGACATAACAAAATATTTTGATGTAGCAAAAGAAAAGTTAAATTGTATAAATAAACAGGAAAGAGATGATCATGTATCTAAAATAGGAATAAGATAGTCAGAATTATATCAGCTAAAATATTTTGATCCAGTTAAATTTATAGTTGTCGACCTGATGTATTGTCTATTCTTAGGTATCAGAAAATGAATAATGAAGCAATGTTTATTAAATAATAATAAACTTAGCAAAGAACAACTTAAAATTATTAAAAAGCGCATGTCAAATACTAAAGTTCTAGCAGATATAAGCTGTGTTCCATCAAAAATAGTGCAAGGATCAGAAGGATTTAGCTGATTAACTGTAGATCAATAGAGAATTTTCTATCAAGTTTATGCTATTCCTTGTATATAGGATATGCTAAATCTTGAAGATAGAGAAATCTTCTTTAATTTTATTAGTGTATGTAATTCATTAATAAGTCGAATAGTCAAACAAAGTAATCTAGACGAAGCGCATAGGCAATTAATAAAAATGGCTAAGTTAATTGAGGAGAATTATGGTCCAGAATTAATATCATCAAATATTCATCTTTCTCTTCACATTAGGCAATGTTGTCTTAATTATGGTCTACCATACGCTTATTAGTGCTATTTATTTAAAAGGATAAATGGCTTATTAGGTTCTTATCTAACAGCAATCAGTCAATAGAACCAGAACTCATATGTATTCTAATAAAAAACATGCAGATAGAATATAGGATAAGTTTAGTTAATAGAAAGGATAGCAAATTACTACTGGACAAAGTTCTTTCACTTTTAAATAAAAAAGTACACGGAAGTTTAAAAATGACTGAAAATTTTAAAAGTAAAGATTTAATAGCATATATTGATATAGTAGATAAAATTGATACAAATATTATAATAGGATCGAAAAGATATCCTGGTGAGATAATAAAACTGATATATGAAAATGTACAACTTCCAGAAAACATTTATCAAAATCTAAAAGATTATTATACAACTCTCTATGAATTAATATTACCATCAATTGATAAAGTTGCTATACAATATGGAAGATTAAAATTAAGATTGGAAATATATGAATCAAAGATTGCCTCTAGCTATATCAATCTTTCGTATATCAGAGCAAAATTCATTGCTTATAAAGGTGAATCAGTTGATATTTATTCAGGACAAATACAATTCTTTTTAC